GGGGGGGGGGGGGGGGGGGTCAATGGATATTCGAAAACCGACTAAACCGACCAAACTGTACCGCACGGTACTGATTTTTAGGTTTCTTTTAAAGAAACCGTAGGTTTTTATATAAATCTATAACCACATCGATAATTAAGGTATGTTTTTTATTTTATAAAAATAAACCGAAAAAATACCAAACCGTACTGAATAAGTTTTACATGTGAAAAATATATTTATATAGTAAGTTTAAAAATAATAAATGCATTAAATTTTTCTTTGGGCCTTGGAATTATGAAAACTGTTACAAGCCAACAAGTAATTAAACTCAAAACACTAATTACTAAAACCGATTATGCTATTTCTACTTAAACTAAGTTATTTCAAGTATATTAGCAAGGCACAAAGTATTCTAGAAATTATGAGTAGCAAACTACAATATATCGAATATGTTTCCGTTCATATAATTTAGATTTATCTTTTTGAATATTTAATCTTCTATAGACTTTATTCTTGAGTACCAACTTGGTTAATATCTTTCCACTCGTGTGATTTATATTTTCTTTGCATTTGCTTGGTTTCTTTTACGTTGTTGTAGAACAGTTGATGGATTTATAGTCTAACCATCTTTCATTTGTTTTAATTCATCACCCTTTAAAGAGTAAAAATATTTAGAGAGTTTTGCTACGTCCTATAAAAGAAAATATGTTATTGCATTCTATTTCTACTGGTGAATTTTACACGATATATAAAACAATATAGAAAATTAACCGAACCGTACCGTACATAAGAGAAACCGACATAATCGGGACGGTTTCGAAAAGAATAATTTTGGTTATACATAATAGAATAATATGGTACAAATTTAAAAAATATCCGGCCGAACCGAACCATTAACACCCTTAGTGATGAGGCATTGAAGGACAACGAAGAATAGCTAAGGTTGAGGCATGAATGCAGAGTTGAGCTGCTTTTTTCCACTGTTCTGTCATCCCTACCGTTCTGTCATCCCTACCTTTACCAGTTTTCTTTTTGATCAAGTCCTTAACCAGTTTTCTTCTATTATCTGGTTGGGGAATGGGGCAGGGATTCTAACTCCATGGCCTTGTGCAATACCTAAGTTGTTCGGACTCGGGTGCGGGTATCCGATACTAGAACGGATCCGAGTATCGGATTCGGCAAAATCTAAATTTTAAGATTCAGGGGTGCGGATCCGGACATGGATACGGGTGCGGGGATTCGGCTAATAAAAAATAGAGCTATAAAAATATTGTAAATTTTGAGAGATATTCTGTGAAAAACTTACAAGAATATTGTAGAATTCAATCTTTCATTCTCCAAGATGGACATTATTCTTTCATTCTCCTAAATCTGTTTTATTTTTGATTTTGAGAAATCAAAATCTCAGTTTTTCTCCCAAATTTGTCGATGGACTCCAGTCAAAATGTCCGACGTCAGTTGACCGAATCCGGGACGTATCCCGCTCCCGTCCCCGTCTCGTATCGAAACAGGGATGGCACCAAAATCGAACAGTCCGCGCGACTTAGTGCAATACAAAAGTCAGTTACCATACCTTTAATTATGGTAAATTTGAATCCCAATTTTTCTGCAGCCAAGTTAAAAATATCTTGAACCAAAGATGCCCTGGACAAAGGAATAGGAACAACCTACAAGATACACAAAGTGTGGAGATTAAGATAATGGAAAATAAGTAGTTATAAAGATGAAAGAATAATGGACAAAAGAATTGTGAAATGAGAATAACAATTACATAATTGTGCATCATTCATCAATGTTAAAAAAGGAGATTGAGCCATTAAGGCAAGGCAGCTGCAATTTGCCCCAAGGTGTACAATTAAACACATACTTCTAAAAGATGTAAGTTAAGGCATGTCTATGTTTTTTAAGGCTCTGCCTCATTGGGTGTCTTTGATGTAAGCCTCACATGACGAGCGTCATTCACATGATCCTTGACTGGGTCTTTCTTCTTAACCACCAGTTGGGTAACTCGTACTAAAGCTTTAATCAGTTTCCACAAACAGAGCATTTTCTCCCCCTTTTTTCCTTTTCAAACCAATAAATATTTAATTCAAACAAAAGAGCACAAAGAAAGTGCATGAATATGTACAATCTTTTGTAAAATGTGAAAAGCAAGGGCCTGTTCCATTGTCATGTAGCTTTTAAGGTCTGAATAGCGTCTAATTTCCCGTGCAGCTTTTTACAAGCTTTCTGGTAATTCGCTTACATTTTTCATTCAATTTGATCTCTCACTCGTACTTCAAATATAGATACTAATTCCAGTTTGGTAATGTTTGTGCCTCATGGTGTATGCCTCTCTGCGACTGATGAGCGCTGACAGCTCTTTCGCAAAGAACTGAATACTGAGAGAAAACGATCAAGTAATGGCACTCTGTGGGAGGTTTTCTAATCAAACCCAATACTAAGGATAAGTTCTGTGTTTACTCAGAGTTCCTAAAGCCGTAGATCTCAAACAGAACAATACACGTACGAGCTGCTATGCAACACCTTTTTCTGTCAGTACAAGCTACTGCAACACCTTATGCCCACTGAACTATGCTTGGAAGGGTACTTGATACATAAAGAAAACAAGAATTCAAGTTTGTCTGAAATATTGGTTAAACTGCTACCATATCTTATGAAAGTAGAGTGCTACTATAGCTGAAACAACAACAAGNACCTGTTTATCTTTGTTTCCAACAGGAGCTAAGCCCAGAAAGCGAGTTACGTGTAGAGCATCAACATTAGCATATGGTTGACGATCAAAGTATGCACCCATAGTTCCTGCAACATGATACCTACCAGCGGTACAATTTTAGTTGGAGAAAAATTCATTCTATAGATTTATAGGGCAGCAAAGTATAGATCTAAATGCCCCCAGGGCCTAGCTCAAGTGGCAAAGGGTGGTGGATTTGTGTCTTAGGTCACAGGTTCAAGCCCCACACCATGCAAAGCAAAGCCTGGTATTTAAGTGGAGAAGGGTAGAGGGGCGGGGCCATTATCCGCCGAGTTTCGAAGGCTGCGGTTGGTCCAAAGGATCGGCCCCGGACCGATCATCCAAAAAAAAAAAAAAAATAGATCTAAATAAAAAGTACTGGTTCATTCAAACGAAGAAAGAACTAGAAAGCAACAGAAAAAAGGTTGTTTACCACCACTCCAGACATGCACACAGGATAGAGTCTGTTGGAGCATTCACATTAACAGAACATTGTGAATTCTTCAACAACGGGGAAATAAATTTTAAGAACTTTTACTTATTTTTTCAAATTGACATTCAGTAAGCTGACTGCCAAATGCTAATCCCGACAGCTTAATTTTACTTTAGGTGAAGCCTAAATATATCAAGGATAAACACATCCACTTGGAATGAAACTTTTGGAGAAGATTTGCTAGTTCAAGCAAGAAACTACGAAGGTCATGACACATATCACCTCAAATTAACTATATAATGCCAGCCCAGCCTAGGTCTAAATAAAGCTTGCACTATTAATGGATAAGGAAAATAAGTAGAATCTTATAAAAGAGTTAGTGGCAGCCTATAGTATATACATACAATTGATTTTGTAGCACACAATTCTTTTTAATGAGAAATACAACATAGCTATTGATTCCAAATTTTAAAGATTCACATTTTCTTCTCAATAGGTAGTGAAGAAATGTCGAAACGAAGCTCAAGAACAAAGAACTTGATTGCCCACGACTAATATATCCAATAAGTGAACTGCACTTTGTAAAAATATGATTACTTACCGAGGCTTAATCTCAGCTACTAATTCTGACACTGTGGGATCACTACCAGATGAATCAGAAATTTCTGAAGGAACATTTGATGTCACTCCATTTGTGACTCCACTGGGCCATTCATTAGTGTTTTTGATTAAGGAAATCAAAGTCATTGCATGGAGTGGTCAAAAGGGGGTGCGGTGCAGAAAAAGAGGGTGACCAATATAAAACCAAAGGATATGTAAGAAATATGTCTACTGTTCCCGGATCCTCAGCTAAAGCCCTCAAAGCATCAACATCGTCTTGACTGTATGTTCCAAATTGAGCTCCAGTTGGAGATCGCCTACCAGATAAGTATGCCACAGATAACCCTAAGCATGAGTACAGTATAAATCAGATATCACATCAAACACAAAGTCTAAAAACATTGGGGCCAAAAAAACAATAATTCGATACGAGAGTACGAGACAAACCTAACTTCTTTAGCCTCTCTAATTCACGATAGAGACATCAGATATTAGCACAAACACTTGCTCTTTGGTGAGATTCTAATCTCACAAAGCAAGCTAAACACACAATAGGATGAATATTCCAGATTAACGGAGAACAGGTAGTTATCTTGGACTAAATGCAGTTTAAAAAAAATATAGTAACTACAACAACAATTATATTAATCAATCGGTTAATCAACTAAGCCTCAAATCCCAAATCAATGGGGGAAAAATACACTTTTTCACGAAATTACAATGAATTGCTCAATGTTTAGATGTGCTCACAACAAGATTTCCTTTTGGATATATTAAATTACACAATGCTTGGACATTCTCATAAGCTTTAACTTTCAACTTTCAAATCTTAGGCGTCATTATTTCACAATGTATAACATGGAAATGTTGCAAATTTCCACTATCTTTAAGTCAATACAACATCGGGTTAATAATTTAGCAGAATATGTTAAAAGGGAACATTCCATACGATTTCTGATCTACATATTCCCTCTGGACCGATGCTCTTGATGTGGAAGTGATTACCTAAGGCTAGGGGCGGATGCATTATTCATAACCCAATATTTTTTACACATTATATAGATATATATATCAAGGTAATCACAATATGTCAATAAATATTAAGTTCTAAACTCATAATTACAAAAGTACAATAAGTTCAGTAGTGAGAATATAAAAGTTGAATCCATCAAATTTAACTACTAAACCCGCCCTCACTAAGGACATAAAATTAGTGTGCTTTCGAGGTACTACTAATTAAGGTTCTTACCATGAAGCTCAAATTTTCCACTGCCTTTCAACCAAAACAAATTGTCACATACTCTAAAACCCTCCATCTTAAACCCTTGATTACTCGGGTCCTTCAATACTGCTGACAAAATTTTCGGGGACCCGACGCCATAGTCCCCAATAAAGTAGGTCGGTATGGGAATTTTGGAGCTGCCTTCAATGTATCCATGGAATTCCTCAAGCCCTTCAATTGAATCCGGGAAAAATTGGCCCACGCAGAATAGAGCATCAAATGGACCAGCTGATTTGTTCACCTGAAGAGTTCAAATTCAGCTATACAGTAAATAGTTGATATTTACACACAGCAGCAAATCCACCAATTTAGAATCAGTGAGCTACGAATGAGTGTGTGTTGTGTGTGTGCTATATATATATATATATATAGTTCGACTCGAAAATAATGAGAGTAGAGAAGAAGAAAAACCGAAGAAACGCGCTTGAATAGCTGATTGAGACGGCCTAGTACGTCACCACAGAGGAGAATTCTGAGAGGAGCCATGACTGAGTGAGCTTGTGAGAGCTCAGAGAGAAAACGAGAGAGAATTGCGAGTACGGGGCCTATTGTAAAGTGCACAAATAGCCATTTTTAGAGGACTCTATTTAAAGAATAACCTAAGTTTACAAATATTTTAATAATTGAGCCGCTTTAGATCAACGTAGTCTCAATCTACTTTGTTCAAACTCTTTAAAAATTCCGTGAGTGCATGTCGAATCTTTTAAAGTAGTGCATTTTTTTAGGATCCGACATAAAAGCGATAACATATTTAGAGAATCCGCACAACATATATTTTAGTTGAATTTAGATTATGGCTGACCTTAATTACAAGTTTTGGTTTTGATAATTCAACCTTCAAAACTTTTGATAAAAAAGTTAGGTTATAGCAGTTCAAAATTTCATACCCAAAAGTTTAAATAATAAACAACAATAGCACGAGTAGATTAAAATTTATTAAAACCGATTAAAATTTTAATATTATTTTTAAAAAAAAGACTAAAGTTTAGAAAGAGGTGCAAAAAGTGGCTACCAGATGTAAGAAGATGTAGCCTGGTGCCAATTTATACAACTAAATGCTACAAGTAATACAAATAGTGAAGTTTGGACATTGGAATTAAAAGAAGCAATAGAAGTAGTAGCTTGCCCTCTTCTTCAAACACGTCTGAGTCTCTGACCTAAAAGTGCAGGTACGAAGTTTGTCTTATTTGGCTAAAATTCAAAAAAATTGAAAATTTGAATAGATTTTAAATAGCACCCTTAAAATAGGCTACCTGGTGCAAATCTTACGCGTAGGACTCCATTCCACTTTAACGCCCAATTAGTAAAAAGCCCACCTAACTAGGGCTCCATTTTAATATTTCAATTTCCCAAATCCAGAAGCAGCAATAAGGAAGAAGAATTGTATAGTTACAGAAAGCGCTATGGATTGTTCGATTAGGATTCAGAATCCGTTGTCCACCACGACAATAACCAGCGCATTGTTTTCTAATAAAAAGTCTGCAAATTTTAGGGTTTTCACCGTTGGATGTTCTTCTAAAATCCTTTCCTCTGATGGTGCACCATCTGGTTTGTCTTTTTTCTCTCTTTCTGTCAATTATCAACTGCTATGCTTTGTTGAATTCTTCTGTTTTTTTTTTTTTTTGAATTTATTGTCCTGCAGCAAAATTATTAGAAAATATTGGAAGACATGGAGGAAGAAAGTGTGACACATAGTCAAGGAGCTGATTGTGCTATTCTAATGTAGTAACTAGTACAGTTAGCTGCAACTGATATACATTATAAGTGATTTTGCGTGAGATGATAGTGAGGGTGAGAAATAGTGGATGACTGTTTGTGTATATACAAACATAGTTATGTTTGCGGAAATATGGGATGATATTCTTTTGTTTTCTAACTCAACTACATCCCACTGTCCTTCTGTTCTTAGTTCAAGCTCGTTTTAATCCCTCTAAATTTAAAATCTTGACATCAACTTCAAGAGATTTCGAGCAAATAAAACTAGGAATGGAAATCCTAGGTGAAATTTTTTACAGAGATCTAAGAAAAGCAAAGAGAAAATATTGTTTCTTTTGGTAGTAGTCAAAAAGACTTGTAATCATGCTCTTTGTATTATTCTTGGTTGAGTTATAATTGTTCTTGACACCCTATATTTCATTAAAGGTGATTGTAAAAAATATAGATGAGGAACAAAATCTTTTAAAGAGCAAAATGTTAACGATTAAGTTACACCTATGGTGAAGTAACTATCTATATCTGGAAGGGACAATGGAGTTAAATATGTGAAGTGAGATATTGTTGTATTTTTCTGGATTTTGGCATCTGCTTTGTTTAGTTTTTTTTTTTTGATTTGCACCGGGTGTCCGAGTCTCTTCGAGCCCCGACTATTCCCGGGGGTGCACAGGCCCTCAGCAAGGAGTTTCCCGCAAGTGCACCGCGGTTAATTCAGGTTTTACCCAGTCCGATGGCCCTCAGAAATTGTTTGCACCCAGTGGGTTTCGAACTTGAGACCTTGAAAGGGAGCAAACCCCAAGGCTCAAGTCAATTGCCACCAGGCCAACCCCTGAGAGTTATCTGCTTTGTTTAGTTACTCCATAAGCTGGGACATTTTAGCCCTGTCTTGACATCTTGTTTGAGTCTAATCGTTCCCTTTATTAGACTCAGTACTATTAAGTTTGTTTTTAGTATATATTGTTGTCAATTGATTTTATGAGCTCAAGGACCTTTTATTCTCCTTATTTTAGATTTGTTTCAAATTATAGAGAATATTAGAACTCTGAATGAATCAATATTTTTCTGGATGAGCTGCAGGTCTGGTTGAAAGACCATGGAAGGTAGCAGATGCTAGACTTGTTCTCGAGGATGGTTCAATTTGGAAGGCCAAATCATTTGGTGCTTCTGGAACCCAAGTTGGAGAAGTTGTTTTTAATACATCCTTAACTGGGTAACACAAATTCTTTTGCTTATTAATTTATGAAACATTACGTTCATAACGGATAAGTTATTTACTAAATTATCTTTGCTACCTGTATTCTGAATGCTTGATGTACCTCATAGATTTATTCAGAGCATGCAGAAAAAATAATGATTTCTTTGCTCTCTACTTTCTTTTCTTTCTTCATTGATGCTTTTTTCTTTTTTTTTTTTCAAATTGTTCTTGGTGTCTAATTTACTAGCTATTTGTATTTCCTGATATTGCAGGTATCAGGAGATCCTTACTGATCCCAGTTATGCAGGCCAGTTTGTCTTGATGACGAACCCTCATATCGGGAATACTGGGGTCAATTTTGGTGCGTGTAGAGTTTTCTTCATGACTAACTGTTACTTTTGTTTGAATAATTTTTTGACTCTTGGAATTTCTCTGGCAGGCGATGAAGAATCGATGCAGTGCTTTCTTGCAGGATTAGTCATTAGAAGTTTAAGCATCAGGTTTGGTCTCTATTCCCTGCTTTTTAAATCAGTCATCAAACATATGGTGTTTATTGTTATCTGTTGCGTTTTTCTCAGCACCTCAAATTGGAGATGCAAAGAGACACTTGATGAGTATTTGGCTAAAAGGAACATCATGGGTATATGTAAGTCCTCTACGTCCTGTACAAGACTACTTCTCACTTCCATGTAAACTGAGGAATTCAAATTCTCTGATCATTTGGCTGTACTACCGTGTAACAGATGATGTAGACACTCGCGCAATTACGCGAAGATTGAGACAAGACGGAAGCCTCATTGGAGTCCTGAGCACGGAAAATTCAAAAACTGATGAAGAACTTCTCGAAATGTCTCGTACATGGGACATTGTGGGTAAGTTACTGTCCTTGTTTCTTCTGATTGTGGAAATTTATTTATTTTGAATGGAATTTTTTTTATTATTAACATATTACGTTATGCAGGTGTGGATTTAATCAGTGGTGTTTCATGCAAATCTCCTTATGAATGGGTTGATAGAACAGCCTCAGATTGGGATTTTAATGATAATGGAAGAAATAAAGAAACTTTTAATGTCAGTATAGTTAGAGTTTATTAGATTCTGGAAAAAAAAATATTGCTGTGGTAACTAATATCTTGTCCATCTGGTGGATGAAGGTTGTTGCATATGATTTTGGAATCAAGCATAATATACTTCGGCGCTTAGCATCCTATGGCTGTAAAATCACTGTTGTTCCTTCAACATGGCCAGCGTCTGAAACTCTAAAGATGAAACCCGATGGGGTTCTCTTCAGCAATGGGCCAGGAGATCCCTCTGCAGTTCCCTATGCAGTTGAAGCGGTAAAAGAACTTATTGGAAAAATTCCTGTTTTTGGCATTTGTATGGGTCACCAGTTACTTGGTCAAGCATTGGGGGGTAAGACATTCAAAATGAAATTTGGTCATCATGGAGGAAACCATCCTGTTCGAAACCTTCGAAATGGCTGCGTCGAGATCAGTGCTCAGGTATGTTAAACAGCAAACTCTAGCTGAATGCTGCTTTGTGTAAATTCCCAAAATTTTCCATACAGTTGCATCAATGTTTACTTCCATTTTAAGTACTACTTTCGAAGCATGATGATGAGAGTCTAGTTTTTTAGTTTAAATTAGAGCAGTCAGTACTTCAGACTTTTAGCCGGGTATTCACTTTGTAATATAATTTTTACATTTTATAAACTTGACTGCTTTCCATATTTTCTGCAGAATCACAACTACGCTGTTGACCCTGAGTCTCTTCCAGAAGGTGTAGAGGTGACTCATGTAAATTTAAATGATGGAAGCTGTGCTGGTCTTGCCTCCTTTAAAATGAAGCTGATGTCACTTCAATACCATCCCGAAGCATCTCCAGGACCTCATGATTCAGATCCTGGTAAACATATCCTGACTTGATCTTCTCGTACACAAAAAACCTCGGCCAAATTGTTCATTAGCTGTTAACTTGTAACAAATATAGCTGTATGTATGAGGATTTACGAAGACAATTAAGTACAATCTGGAGAATAATGATGTTACATGGCCAATCACTTCTACAAAAGAAAAATTCTGAATAACTACTTTATTTTGATTGAATCCGAAGTTCGGATTCTGCTGTCTAGGCCAATCTTCATATAAATAAATTTTGCTGGCTAAGTCAAAGTATTTCCAGCTGGTCTTGTGTTCATGATAGGTCTCTCATATTACAGTTTCCAATGGAACTTTGAGACAAATAGAATGATAAAAGAGTCTAATTATTTGTAGAGTAAACCAAGATTTGCTTGAATGTGAATGCAGCTACTTGAATCAAGGCATAATTATGTCAAAATTCTCATTGTATCCTTTCTTTACCTGGGCAGTATTCGGGGAATTTATACAACTCATGAAGCAAGAAAAAGTGAAGGCATAAGCCAATTGCCCTGAAGAGCCTGAAGCAACAGTCATGTTTGAAGGAACCACATTCCGGAAAAGAGAATTTCGATGAGACTTGAGTCAGAGCAATCTGTCGTGCTGCACCTCTTCTTGCCATAAATCAAGTCTGAGCAATTCGTCGAGCTGCACCTCTTTGCAATTATATCGATGGATATATATGTATGGTTCTAATTTTGTTCAAGTTGCGGCTGCGCCTTTATCTAGTCTAAAGACATAATACTAAATTTATTTGGTGTGTGTAATAGTACTCTGTGGTATGGAACTTGTAATAATACACTTGTTTCCATCTTAAGCAAAGATTCACTTAGCTTTTGATTAAGGTGCTTTTGTGGTTGAGGAACTACTAGGATAGTGCTCCTTTATCATTAATTAGATGTCTCAGGTTCGAGCGGTGGCTATGAAGTCACCTTTGTTAGGGAGCGCTTTACCCTCAGCGTAGAATTTTTTGGTGCAAATCCAAATTAAGTTGAATCCCAGTGCGGGTACCAAAAACAGGGTTGGAAACTAAAAAAAATATAAGAACTGTTGGGATAGTGTTGGCTTGTTACTGGCAGGACGTTTTGTATTTGTTATCAACATCATACCATAGATACCTCTCATCTATCGCACAAACGATGCAGAATGTGTATTTGTTGCGTTGGATATAAAAGTGGATGATAGTTTGGTGCGTCTGGCTGATTTGCACAAAGCCACTTTTGTGGCCACTTTTCAAAATTAAACCAGTAAAAAGGAAAAGAGAAAAAGAAAAAAATATTTAATAAAATAGAAAATGGAAAAATTTGCAAACAATAGGAGTAATATATTTGATAAGTTAATTTGACTATTGCTCTTTCAGTGTCGTTCTTTCCAGAAGAATAGAATAAATTTTAGCGTTTCCAGATATATAATAGGAGCAATAAATTAGGAAAAAAAGAAAAACAAAAAAGAAACTTAAGAAGACAACATGAAAGAAAGAACCATTAAGAATTTTGTGAAATGGATATAGTATGTCAATCTTTAATCAGAGGTTTCGGGTTCGAGTTCCGTGAATGTAATAAAAGACTCTCCCCTATAATGTGTCTTACGCGCTGCAAATTTAAAGTAATCGAGATTTGAGATACCAATGCTAATATACATAAAGAGAAAAATCATAAAAAAAGAAAAAGAAAAAAAAAAAACAAACAGAGAGAGGAGGTGGAGAATCTGCGATTCTAGAAAGTCTAAGAAAGAATAAAGACAGCAGCCACAAAGGTAAAAAAGTAGGCAAAGATAAGATATGGCTACTTCTTACTTGCATGCACTTACTTTAAATGTTAATTTAGCAACCTTTTGCCTTTCATCAACAATCCAACATTCTGCCTGTTTATTCCCAACATAATCATTTATCTAAATTCTCATTTTTTTTTTATCCTTTCTTATAACAAAATATTTAAACTTAGTATTGCTCCTGAGCTTTCATCCAGAATAGCTAATTCTAGAATTAATTATTTTACGATTTTATCCCAATCAAACATGAAATAAACTCATCTCAAATTTAATCTCAGGATTAGTTATCTCTTATTGTCCTGCCCGGTTAGTTTACCATATGCTTTATTTATTTNGGATTTATGGGGTGGTACCTTAGAGAAATTTTGCCACTTGCTTAACCTTGCATAAATTTTGAAAGATTTAGTACAAACGAACAGATAATTAAAGGCATTGTTTATTTTATAATAATGGTATTCGGCCCAATTTATGCATATCTCGATTAATTCATCTTGTAGCTGTGACCTCCCACCCAGAGGAGAACTTATGTATTGAGTTGAGGGGTTATCGTACCCAGTCGCAAAGTCAGAAATTTCGCTAAGGGTGTTCAAGATTTAATATACTTGTATGAAAAGTATTTTTTGATTTATAAGTGTATTATAATGTTTTATATATATACTATAGTTTTTCGATGAAGGATATTCAACCGACCACCTTCATTGTATGTGGCTACATCACTGACCGGACCCCCTTTACTTCGGGAAAAATTATTGATATATATGGGTTTATGTGTTGAAATAGTCATATATTTTACTTGATACTCTTAAAATAAAAAATACAAGTATCGAACAATTGTGCTCACCAAAACTTAAAATATTGGTATCATACATCAACTAAAACAAATCAAGAACTGAACTACATTAATCTTTCTAGCTCAATACACTAAGTACATGCCCATGTTTATCCTACTATTTATTGGTAAAAAAAACTAATTAAAAATTCTTTGTCCTGGTGATAGAATCATCTTTGGATCAAACTGACTTTTCCTTTGTTGAAAAATATTCCACTTTTTGCCAAAATGTTTTATCCAATCCTCCTTTGTTTTATAATGTGGAAGATATTGCTTTATCTTGAGGCCAGCTTTATCACAGTAATTCAAGATTTCTTCATTTTGATCATCCAAATTTTTCCAGTCATTAAATCCACTTGAATGCAATAGCCCCACACAGTAAAATGTCTCCTCTTCTGGTATCACTGCAGACATCCTCTCATCCCATCTGCAATTAAAAAAAAAAAGTGTAAAATAATTTTATGCGATCAAATTATTTAAAAGGTAATTACAACTACTCATAATAAGTGGAATTAGTAAACTGGTAAAATAAAACGTAACCTTTTTGTGTATAACATGTCAAAATTATACCAATAGTATAAAGTTTCATAACACTGTCAGTGAATATAAGCTAAATAGTCCTTTTTAGTTTCATTACACTACAATTACATATTTAAGACACTACTAAAAAAGATAGACATTAGTGACTGACAAATTTTGTAGTTAAACTGAAAAACTTATCGCTAATCCTATTTAGCGACAGACTAGTGATAGATTATCAAAAAATTCCGTTAGCTACGAGCAATTTAGGGACAGATTATCGACGAAGTTCGTAGCTAACTCCAATTTTTTTGTAGTGAGACTTTTTTACTTTTTAAAAATTTAATCCAGTCAAAAGCCTTCACATAAAATGGGACGAAAAGAGTATTAAAGAAAGTTTTTGGGAGTACTTTTTCCTGCTTGTTGGGTAGACAAGGATAGGTCCTGTTGTCTTGTTTTGTCTGAGAATAATGTCCACAAAAACACCAGCATTGAAATCCATGATATTGGATTTTGGTACAAAGAGATTAAGCCATGGATGTGGAACATCCCATTGTCCTTTTGATTGTAGCTCTAGCTCTCCACTTCTTACTCTATTCAAAAAATCCACAAATGTGACATCTTTCTTGAAGATAAATCCAGGCAAAAAGTTCAAACCTTTTACCAACTTCTTCAATTCCTGCATAAGAAAAAAAAATCAGAGTAATTATATATTGTATGATTTATCCACAATTAGTTATACTACATTGCTAAGAAAATTGTATAATTTTTTTTGGACAGGTAGCCCGATGCACAAAATATTCTGTATTCACGCAGGGTATCGGAAAGGGCTGCACCGTTAGGGGTGTGATGTAAACAGTCTATCCTAATGTAAGCATTAGTGGCTGTTTTCACGACTCGAAATCGTGACCTATAGGTCACACGGGAATAACTTAACCAATGCTCCAAGCTAGGCTCTCGTTCTGTCTAATCTTTCTTGGTGTTTCTAGATAATTACGAGGTCGTACAAAGAGTTTAACTTATGTGACTGACGATATATAACTTTTTTGCACTATTAGGTAAATGTGACCTGCAATGATAAGGAAACTATATCTAGAGTAATTAAATCTAGTTTGGTAACATAGTAAATGTAGTAAAATAACATGCTATAATCAATTAAAATACATTAATAATTTTACAGTATCGATATATATAAGTTAAATCATTATAAAAATAATTCCAACTGTAATTAATTGGTACCTCGTCAACAGTATTAGCAGTCTGATCATCATAGTACTTGACCATTTCTAGGCAATAAATAATGCCATTTTGTGATAACAACGAAGCTATTTTGGTCTGATTAGATGGTGAGAAAAATGAAGATCTCCAATTATTTAGACTGCTTTGTTCCATCATTAGAGATCCTTCAACATAATCCAGGCCATCAATTGAAATCAAATGTTCTTGGTCTTTTGTGAATTTTGAGAAATCTACATATAGCATTCTCACCCATTTCACCTATAAGAAAAATAAAAATAAAATAGTGTCACTTATAAGATAATTACAAATAATTCGTTACGGTAAACATTAATAGATGAGATGGTAAAGATGATATTTAATATGCAATTGCTGGTTAAAATATACTAAAGGGCAACCCGGTGCACTAAGCTCCCGCTATGCGCGGGATTCGGGGAAGGGCCGGACCACAAGGATCTATTGTAGACAACCTTACTCTGCATTTTTGCAAGAGGATGTTTCTACGGTTCAAACCCGTGACCTCTTGAATAGTATAAAAAGATTCTAGCTACTTGTCAATCAGGGGCAGATTTAGGTCGTTTTTATACATGAATCCATGATCTTTTCGACATATTAGGTATTTTATGTAAATATTACGTGAAATTGATCTAATATTATCTGTTGGCCCTCATGCTCCAAAAAGGTTGAATGGTGCACTGATTGAATTATGAGTTACTTATCCAAAGGAACACAGACCGATTCTCATTCAGTACTTTTTCTTACTTGTTCAGTGATGTAACTGTATTCTAGAAATTTTAGATCTGCCTCTGTTGTCAGTGTATATAACTAAAGTTGATTTTAAAAATCTTTAAGTATGTATATTGTACTTACTCTTGTTGGTGCTTTATCTAAGACAATTCTTGCCCTGGTTATTATTCCAAACTGTCCCAAACCTCCTAAAACTGCAAAGAACAGTTCTGAATTCTTGTGTTTGGAGCAAGTCACAAATTCCCCTTTACCTGAACCAAAACATGAGAAGAAAAATTATATAGTAGTAAATAATCATTTAATTTATTATATTATCATTAACATCATGCAAAAATATATTTATATATTTCCCAAATGTGTGATTTAAGGAAATTAAAATCTAGACCTGCCACTTGCAATTAAGTATAGAATTTTCTATCTTATTTTAATATAAGGTGAATCTTACCTACAAGATCTTCCAGGTGGAAAAGGAGACATCACAACCTATCAATGAATACTAGGCACATCCTTTTACATGTTAAAAAGAATAAAACTATATCTGTATAAACTTTTTTCTAAAAGAGTCTTACTTTGTTAGGCCCCAAATGTGACATGTTTCCAATCTTAACTAAGTTTTGATAGTGACTATCTCCCCACATTTTTTTATGTACTCACAATACTTTCCATCAAAATATAATACCCAAAAACAAAAAAATAAACCTTTTACCTTTATAGTTTATTATGCGAGATAAACTTTTATTAAT